ATTTTTGTTATCTGTACATCTAGTATAAATTGCTGAAACTCATCTGTCATTTATGATACTTTTTCTGAAGGGTGTCTTTATTTCATATGATTTTGTCTATGGTTTTATAACGTTTTATTTTGTGTTGGACCCTGATAAATAAATATGGATACACTCATACAAGCTTGACCTTAGTTTTAGTTATCAAGGCTTTCATTCTTAAAATATAACTATATGTCAAATAATTCTTCAGTGATCTTTTGTTACAAACTTGATATTTGATTCTTCATTTTAAACTCTTCTGCTCCTTATAGTTGTATTGCATGTGTTTTCTGTTACTTCCATTTCCATTTCATCTCCAATATTTCACCGAAGTAATTTCCACTCCATCTGCCTCCTATCCATAATAGAAATCTGAAAAACTCTAATTTGATATGTGTTATCTTTGTCTTAGGACCCTCATTTGAAGGAGGGGAAAAAGGATTTCCATCCATGATATGTAAATTGTAAATGACTTTGTGGCATATTCAGCCGTACAATCTTGGTATAAAGACAAATCTTCATCTTCGCTTCATAAGACTGTTAACCATCCCTTTGGAGTTTATGTAGGTGGAACTTCAACATCAGGAAGAGTCATTCATCATGTGGATTCTTTTGGGGACCTTGAGGTAGATTGCAGTATATATAATGCAGAGTTTCGTTCTTATACGTACTGCCTCTGACTCCCTTTTTGCGACTTCGACAGGACTCCGATGGAGAAAAAAAAACTGAAACCTATGTGTCAAAGAGGCAGAAGAAAAAGAGAAAGAAGCAAAAGAAACAAAAGAAAAAGGTAAATGCCATTTATTTGGCATTTTTATGATAGTTTATACTTTGGTTTATATATATTTGACTGAGGGACACATTGTCATCACTTTTGCAGGAGTTGGATAACTCAATTAGGGATTTATCTGAAGCACAAAAAAAGAAGCTGAAACTATGACCCTCTCAAAATTTATCAGGTCTTAGATTCTCCACAACCACCAGCTTTTAAAAGCAAAATTTTTTAAAACTGAATTAGTATGTTGGGATTGACAGAAAGCATACATAATTTTTCTTGTTTGTATCCATTTTCCTCTTTTTGTTCATACTTTCCTTTACGAAATCAAGTTTATCCCACATTTGTTCTTTCCTATTTTACTTGGTGGCGAGGTGTATTCCACATTTGATAAAATCAAGTTGATAAATCTAGTCAACTGACTGTAGCATCCTACTTGCCTTCCTCGACAACAATGCCAAATTTGTTGTAGCAAATTTTATTTTACCGAGTACGGAATGTATACTGACGGTTCGATCTCGCGAGGAAGGAGATTCAGAATCTAGAATCAGTGACGATCACACAACATAAAATAAAATCCAAAACATTCTAATCATGTTTTATGATCTCAAGCTACCATGAACTAGAAATATGATTAAATGACTCTAAAATAAATGAAGAGTAGAAGGTCTAGAGAGTCGGGATAATCATTTCCAGTTCCAGACGCAAATACCTAGCAATTATTTATTCCAATAAATGGTTTGACAAGCCTACATTAGATATTCAACCTCAATGACTATATGTAACATGAGAACAAATATAAATACTCGTTCGTCAAATCAGATAAGACTAGAGCTGTCAAAACGGGCCGACGGGGTGTACCTGCCCGTAGCCCGCCTTTTGGCGGGGCGGGGCGGGGGCAGGCTAGCCCGCTATTTTGGTGGCTGTAAAAAGCCGGCCCAACCTCCCCGGCCACGGGCCGCGGGCTCGGCGAGCTAACCTGCTTTTTGTTTGTTTTTACAACTGGCTGCAGCCTCAGCCCGATAGGCTAATGTAATTTAAACTCTAAAAAAATATCACAACAATCATAATAAAAAAAAAAATCCAAAAGCAAATTATCACAACGCTGGAGGAGCTGAACTTTGATGGGTCTCGAAGGCGGAGGTAGATGGAGGAGGCTGAAGGCGGAAGAGTCTGGAGGCGGAGGAGGCTGGAGGCGGAGGTTGGAGGCTGTTCTTGAAGGCCGACACATGAGATCGAGGCCGGAGGTGGAGGTGAAGGCGTGGGCGGGAGGTCAGAGAACCGGAGGATAGAGGTTGAGTCACAGGTTTTCTTGCATTCTGTGGCTGAAAGGGCGAGGCGATGGGAGGCTAAGGTTTGGTTAGGTGCGTGCGAGACTGCAAGTTCTGCTTTTTGAGATATGAAAATGAAGTCTCAAATTTCTATATTATTTATTTATTTAAGCCTTATATTTCTGATTTCTGAATTTATTCTAAATTTCTAATTTAGTATAACATGTATTATATATTAAATATATACATATAACATATATTAATATATATTTTTTTTATATGGCGGGTCGGCTCACGGGTTAGCCCGCCCCAGCCCGCGTAGGCCCGCCAGGATCTAAAATAAGACATAGCCAATACAATTACGAACATGCCTACCATATACGAGCCTAGATCAAATAACTCATCTCCTTTCGATTCTAAGTTTCATTTAGCTAAATTAGATGATAAATAATCGGCTAACCATGAGACTCAAACAACTCGCACAAGTTGAAAAATTCAATAGCCAAATGCCCACAAAGAACCAGAACATTTATCCATGTCCTAGGTGGATGAATTAAATTATGCTCGGATTGAATTACATATTAATCAAAATTGAGAACTCGCATTCAATCAACAATAATAAAAAAAAAAAAAATACAATCATGAAATAGATCACAAGAGCTAGTTACTATTACATGTTTGGTTGTAGCAAATCAAGCACGCGAAGAAAAAAAATAGAGAAGATCCTAAGAAAAACAACTACCATACGGTTTTGGTTTTTGGGATCCATTGAATCGTTCCTTGGCTATTATTGTTATGTCGAAAAAGATATTCTCGTGATATGGTACAAGTCTCTATTTAAGCAAGTTCAAAATGGGGTTGGAAAACCATCTAAATACATTAATGCAAGCCTCTCACCGCGTTGTGACCATCTTTGTGCCGTGACGAGTGGACTCCAGAAGGCTGTGAAGTTGTTCACTCCATGACGAGTCTGTCGCGCCGGTTGTGAGCACCTTCACGTCGTGACAGATGGATTCCACCAAACTATTTGTCACGTGTTGTAGTTATTTTTACCGGAGTAGAATCAAATGATTGAATCCCCGGGTCGTGTCTCAAGGAAGGTTAGCCGGATTAAATTGTACGTATATTCAGTCACAGTCATATAAAAAGAAAATAATCCTAACACTCTACTCAGATTAGTTTGATTTTTACTAACTACGAATGATTCTCAAACAATGCAAGATGAATTGTAACGCCCCGTTCCTTTTAAGTTAAATCATAGCATTTGCAGACTAAGTTTAAATCTTGATGTTTATTTCTTATTATTTTCTCCTGTTTGATTTAATTGTTTAATTGATTATTTGCTTAAGTGATTATGTGACTATTTGATTATTTGTTTATGTGAATATTGTATTAATTATTGATTATTTGATTATTTGCTTAAGTAATTATTTGACCCTTTTGTTTGCCTACGTGATTACTTGATTATTTGCTTATTTGAATTAGTTGCCGAGGTGTTAATTTATTTTCCTATGTGATTATCTACTTATGTGAATTGTTTGCTTGAGTGTTAATTTAAGGGGCTATGTGTTCAATTTATATTTTGTGTCTAAATGTGTGCTTATGCTTATTTGATTTTATTTTGTGCTAAGTATTGTTTTATTGTGCCTAAGTGTTTGTTATTTTTCTAAAGTCTTGTAGTGTACAAATGTTTATATATATATTGTTTAGCTGTCCATTACTTTAAGATGAAACTGTTGATCCAAGTAAATTTCTCTTGGTCCTAACTCATTAAATTCGGCCCAAGACCAAGGCACCTCTTGTACTATGTTCTCAGCACGACAAATTATCCCTTCTCGCCAATTTGAGGACCGAGTCTCTCCACCTCCAACAGATTTCCGATTTCTCGGCCTCTTCCCCAATTTTCGGCCAACTTATCCACGCCTCTTTCCTCTCTAATTCAAGATGTCAACCATAATACTCCCTATTTAAAGGATGAGATTTCAGGCGCAACCTCAGTGGAATCCCCTCAGAAAATTCGTAGAAAAATCAACCAATTTTTTTCAGCCATTAGCCTCGGCCGAGCAGCAAACTTCCGACGGCGAGACACCAGTTACCATCGGCTGAGTGCTAGCCTTAGTCACGGCTAAGCAGACCCAAGCCACGGACGACCCCAACTCCAATTTCGTTGTAATTACGTTGTTCAACCTCGAGCTGCAAGTCGCGACCATGAGCCCCAATTTCCCATCGAGAAGGCGATCTCCGATCGTTGACCTCCGACGAGGCTGCGAGCTTCACAAGCATCAACATTTAGGAGCCGCAACCTCTTAACTCTGGCCCGTCCGACGAGCTGCAGCCTTATCGAGCAGGAAGTTCTCGAGAGCCGACGTCTGAATCCAGATGTGAGCCACCGCGACCCAAGCTCCAAATTCCGGTGACGAGGAGCAGCCAAGAGTCACTTTATTGCCAGCGATTTGAGCCATCGGTCCAGCAAAGAGCAGAAAGCAGCGGTTAAGAGCTACAACAAAACCAAGCCCTCTTCAGTAGACTGAGATGAGTCGAGCCCTCAGACAGACGCACGTGCATTCATTCATTTCAGCCAGACATTAAGTTTAAAGGTGGGGTTTCTATACTACGGTTTATTCTTTATAACAATGCACTAGTATAATTTTTATATGCATGTGATTGTGGGCTGATGGGCCGACTGTGAGATGCGAACTTTTACCATGGCGGCTTGAAATAAGAGTCACTAGGCCGGGTAATTATCAGTTAAGTTATCTACTAGCGGGACTGGGTAATGCCAATGGCACTAGTAGTCTAGTAGAGTTATTTATTAGTGGGATCGGTTGATGCCGAATGCACTAGTAAGTAACCATACCGACGTTCATGAACATAGGTTAATGGCGTATAATAGCTAATTAGCCGGGTAAATTATGGAGGCTTGAAATAAGAGTCACTAGTCAAAATTTACCTGGAGGCTTGAAGGCGGGATGATATCAGTTAGTGGTGAGACAAAAAGTTTTGCATGTTTATATAATTATTATCCTATCTATGTTTATATTGAATCGATGCATAGTATGAATTTTACCACTGAGCCGAGAGACGGTGCTCACCCCTTTGTTTTTCAGGTTGATCGAGCTGGCGGCAGGCACGAGGGGACGGGCATGGTTGTTTTTAATTATGTTTATATTTATGTAAACTCTGTTGAAATTTATATTCAAAATTGAACGTTTTACATATTGGAACATGTTTAATTTGAAATGTTTATTTATGTCTGAATGTCTTGATAGAAATAATAGTTTTTGAGTAATGTCCGTTGAGTGTAAATTAGAAAATGAGATAGATTGAGTAATGTCCGTTAAACAATTTTTTTTTTAAACAAATTGCGAAAATAAATCATGGTTTTTAGGAAAATATTTGGTATTTTATCTTTTAAATAACGGGGCGTTACAGTATGGTATCAGATCGGGTCTATGGTTCTGTAGACTTGCAAAATTTTTCAAAGTTAGAAGATTTCAAAGTTAGAGAAATAATGATTTAAAAAAAAAAGTTTTAAGTTTGACCACCTGCCTTCGTCGAGCCGCGCCAACCTCAAAGTAAGTATTAGATGGTAATTCTGTTCAGTAAGATAAAGTTGCATGAGATGTTTCAGTTTCAGTTCGACATGGCTATGTGATTCAGTTCCAGTATGATAGAAATCATGTACGAGTTAAGAAGTTTTTGCTTAATAAGTTTGTGTATGACTTTAGATAAGTCTCAACATAAGTAGGTGGCATGTTTGCCTTTATGTGACTATGTGTATGACTGCATGAGTCTAAGTTTGACTTTAGAATTGGGGCCTAGAAATTTATCCTTCTTTTTATCAAGTTTTGAATCTAGTATAAGAAAGTGGGTTAACACCCGAGACCAGCAAGG